ATTTACCCAACTTTGGGCCAGCACTGGGAAACTGAACACTATGTAGTTAAGCTCATTCAGTAAACAGAAATTTATTCACAATAAATAAAAAAAATGTTTAATTTTTTTTTTTTATTTATATTTTATAATCTTGTTTGTAAACAAATGCTTCATAGCATTGATAATATTTAAATTAACGCCAATAGAGGGAGTCATTAAATCATATGATTTTAGTTGCTAGATGGCGACTTCGTTAAGAACTCACCATAGACATGTACTGTAACGTACTTGACGTGCATTTTCTGTTTGGAGCTTGCCAATTCGAGGTAGACTACCAAAGTCGTCCTGATGATGATGGAGTATAACTCCGAAACCGGTCAAGGAATTGGTGGTCTCCTTGGCCCATGGTACAAAGAATACAAGATATGATATTGCGCAGGTTGGTCGCTACGTCACAGGTGATAACAGGCGCTATTGGTCAGCACGCTCCGCGCGACGGTTCAAATCGTCAAGATATTGTTATAAACCTGTTTTTTTTGTTTATATACCGTCATTGAATTATCGCTAAGCAAGTTACTGTGGAGCAGTGCATAAGGAGTCGGGCTAGGAAGCGAGAGACCGGAGTTCGAATCTCGGCCGGAACATCACTTTTTATTTATTAGAATAATTATTAATTATCGTTAATTACAATAATTGTAAATCATCCTGATTCAATATAGTCATTTATTTTTAACTACGACCATGGTACAAAGAATACAAGGTATGATATTGCGCAGGTTGGTCGCTACGTCACAGGTGATAACAGGCGCTATTGGTCAGCACGCTCCGCGCGCCAGTTCAAATCGTCAAGATATTGTCACAGATATTGTTATAAACCTGTTCTTTTGTTTATATACCGTTTTATACTGTTCTATTGTTTATCGCTAAGCAAGTTACTGTGGGGCAGTGCATAAGGAGTCGGAGCTGAAGCGAGAGGCCGGAGTTCGAATCTCAGCCGGGACGTAACTTTATTTATTTTTTAAATACTGTTGTATTCTATAGTTTATTTTTTGTAGTATTAAAAAAAAAAACTATTTATTCTGTTATTTTAATCTCCGTTATTAATATAAATTGATTGTTAATATTTCATTTAATATAAAATAATATTCTACTTTTAGAAATGTATCGGGCCCTAATTGTGCCTAAAAGTAATATATTTTTAGTGATATACCATATTGTAAACTATTTAATATTTCAGTCACTTATAAAGTTAATTTGCATTGAATAATTGCCTATTAAAGGAAATTTGAAATAATCATGATAGGCATATTCTGGGTATGCAAATACTTCCTTTAAATTTTGGGTGTCGTTCAACCGATTTATTCTCAAAACCAGAAACATCTACATATAAAAGAAGCACAGGTCACTAATTATAATAAACTTCACCCCTTAGTATTACTCCCACTAATTATAATAAACTTCACCCAAAACTTCTATCACAATTACAATGCGTTCATCTGCATTGGCATTTTCTACTTTTCGATGGGAAACAATAAACTTCCCAACATTTTTTAAATGATGTAACAATTCCTCTTGTGGTTACTTTTCCATAGATATCCACAACTCTGTCCTCATGTGAATTCAGAGGCAATGAAAATGAAAATTATTTACCATAAACATCATTTAAAAACTATAATAAACAATTTTATACCGAATATAGAAATAAATTTATTATTCTTACCTATCGTCCAAATCCATGTTAATGGTAATTATTATTTTAAATATATTTTGGAACTGCTGGTTTTAGTAATTATTAAATTAAACGAACTAAAAAGTCTTAAAAATAAACAATTCTTAACCATAACCCCAAAAAATGCAGATCTCCTGTCAACTTTCTTTATTTTTTATTTATACATTATTTTCCTAGTGACGTCACAGGTGGTATGCGCGAACTGAACGAAATTGGAGCCGCTATCGATCATACCTTGTATTCTTTGTACCATGACTACGACTGTGTTTTTTTGTTTCTTGCCTGGCTCCCAATACTTTTAGGTTTAGTATAATTTGGTTTCCTCTGGACAATATAGTTTTTTAGCTAATAATTTTTTATTAACTAAATCTGCTGCACCTTCAATAACTTTCAAACGAGTCGATTAAATGAAAAATCATATCAGACCTTTTTTGAAGACCATTCAATTTCCTACAAAAATATGTATTGATGTTTACAACCATACGTTGATATGTTGCGCACGCTCACTCTGAATCTGTCTGTGCGCGAGCAGCCGCGAACGTAAGCCGTCTGGTGTCGGTTTTTGGTCCGTGCTCAAAGGGATTTTATGTGTGCGCGAACGCTCAGTTTGCATCAGGTGGATGACACTTCTTATAGGAGAACTGGCAATGGTTGGAAACTTGACTACAAGCGATTTTCTAGGAGTCTTCCTTATCGATAAATTATTGACAAGAGTGACAGATAAAACCTTGACGTTCTTTCAGTATTACAGTTCATCTCTTTTTCTTTCTAAAGCGTGCGTTGAAAGGAGACAAAAGCAATTTTTGGTGATCCATAATTTGTTATTCGAACACCACTTTTCTCCTTGTCGGGTCGGTGACGTTGACTGACGTTGACTTGTCGCCATTTTATTTCTTTTGTTTACACGCTGTAGTTTGCTTCGTAAATTTAATACATAAATAATTTAGGCAAATATAGGTTTTTGATAAAACTCCTCGGACTAACGTGTAGGTAAGTGTTGATAAATATTTTTTTTTCATCTTAACATGCTCATTTTCATTCTCATGATTTAGGTGACAGAAAAGGATCATCAATCAAATTGAATTTTATATTTTTTCATCCCAGGACCGATAAAATATATATTTTATGGATACCTTCCTAAATATCAACGAAATGAGCTATCGGAAGAAAGGGACCATAGTACAAAACAGAAAGGCGATCTTTTTTCTTTCCACTTAGGATATTGAAATTATTATATACTGTAGTCGTGTTCGGCATTACACTCTGAGAAATATAGATAAACAAAGAACAACAGATATAAAGCATCCCATAGGAAAAGAGAGGCAATATCTGTACTCTCTCTCTGATATTTGTGAAAGTTATGGCAAAGTATTGTTGTAAATGTCATCTTTTTAATCGACCTGAAAACTTCTAGCAAAAAGATGACACTTTAACCAATACCCTGACAGATATCAGAGACGATACAGGTTTTTCCTCTGTTTTCCCGTGGAATAATTTTAATTTATTATTCTTTGTTTATCTAGATTTCTCAGAGCACTATGAACGAACTCAGCTTGTATGTTCGAAATAATTGTCCAGTTGGCTTAGAAATGATGATCGATGACATTTCCTATATAATTTTACTTTCAAAATTATGATATATCTATATATCTTCATTTCTAAGCCATCTATGACGCCATTTTTTTCAGTTTTGTTATAATTAATTTTGTCTCTTGATCTACTTCTAACATTATTCTTTTAATTTTATTAATTTATTGTGGTGTAATTAATTTCTGTTGTATATTTGATATTGATATTAAACATATTTTTAAAAAATGGTGTATTTTTTGTGTTTTTATCTATGTCATAATTAAAAATAAATGAAAGATTAAAATTTTTTATTTTTTAAACTTCCCGCCATGCGTGACAATCTAGTCCGTAGTTCCTACAAGCGATATTGGGGGTGCTAGTAGCAGTAGACTTGTCAACAGTGTCAAATTTAAACGTCAATTTCACTTTCCAATATTTAGCAAGGCGCTCGCACTTCTTCTTGTGTATGTGTTTTGTGGTTTATTAAAATTATGGAGTGAATTAATGAATTTTCGTTATTATTAATTGAAGAATATGAAAAGTTGCCTATATATTAGGGCCGTTAAACATTCTTTGTATTATTAAAAAATAAAAAAAAACGCATGGCAACATCTTGTAAATAAAATTAATATTGAATATGTCGATATTAATGAAATTGCTATTCTAAAATTTGTATCTTTTGTTCGTAATTTTTGGTATTATTAAATTTTGTAAATATTCAAAGTAGGGTCTGGTCATTCTTGTAAAGTTTTTGAACTGATCATAGCCCTCCTCAGACACTAAGTTTCTAAAAATCGATTTCTAAAACTTTGATTGCCACCAGCGACGATGTTTTCGATTTTTCTCCTTTTTAATAATTAAGCTGTGCATAACAATGACTGCAGCCTCGACTATTTCTTGGTCGTCCATTATTTTCGCCAATACAACTCTGCCGTGCGCGCACAAATGGATCACTTCATTCGTCGAAAAATAAGTTTTTAATTTGAACGGAGCCGAAAGCGCGAACGAATGCCGTTCGCGCACGCTCAGCTCGTGCGTGCTCAAGTCTAAACGCACCATTAGGAGCACAAACTTTACTAGAATTTTTTTAATGATATTTTCACGGTAACTAAAATAATAGTTATTTTTTATACAAGACGGATCGACCGAAAAGATTAATTGAATGTGAATTTCGGGATTAAATGCAATTTTATCGTCGTGTATAAAACAATATATTTTTCCATGGCGAGTTACGTTTTAAAAAATATTCAGAAATTATTATTTCAAGGAATTTATTACGAGTGGAAAAAATATTGTGCTGGGTTGGCTTTGGTTTCTATGTAATTTGACAAATAAATAAAGCTGTCTCTTTAGTTGTCAGTTTTGAGTCAATATTTTTTAATTCTCTTTCGTGTCGATTGCTGATTGAATTGGAGCCAGAAATGGCTCAAGACGAAATACTAAGCAAATTACCAACAGATATTCAGGCTGAGGCGACAAACGCCATATATCCAAACTACTTCCTTTAAAGAATAACTTATGAAAAGAAAAACAAAAATTTTCAAAAACGGAAGCAATTAAAAAACGTGCGAGAAGAAATAAAGTTTTTAACCTATCCTCGCTGTTAAAGTATCATTTAATCTACCCTTTCGGTTAAAGTACTATTTTATCTACTATTTTTTGATAGATATAAGGCAATTTTAACAGTTGCTATGAAAATAAAATATTATTTTTTTGGTGCACCTTACTGTATAATAATAAAATTAAGGAATTGAATTTTTAATTGGCTTACCTGAGTGGTTTGTGATCCCAACCAGAAATGAATGTCCCAGAATTTTTCACCTTTTTTATTTACTCTAGTCTAGAAAGAAATAAGTATCTATTAATTGCTAGTTTTTATACCAAATCATTTCTTTAAAATTTCTCTTACATATGATCAAAATATACTTACATTAAGTACAATGTATGAATCCCCAGAGTAGAACTTTCCATATTGATTCTTTGGATAGGGCACAGGTTTGAAATCCTGAAAATAACAATTTTGTAATAAATATCTCATTGTTTAACCTTTTAAGAAGGAATAGATCGATTTAATACACTTTGAAGCTGACATTAAAACAATGAATGAGTCTCCAGAGTATTTTAGAGTCAAGAGCCTTAAAAATCTTTTAAACCATACCTAAACTTAAACTTAAAAATTATTCAAAACAAAAATAAAAATCATCTCGTTTGGATAGTTTAATCAGCACAGATAAAACTCAATTATTGTTATTAAGTGAGAGTTCTTGTCGTGTTTTGTGGTATTTTTTTTGATACTGATGATAGTAATGCCTAGTTGGCACTTGATCTATTAAATTGTAAATTACTCCCTTATATCTAAAAGGCAGATTTTCATCTATCAGTCATACTGAGGCAGTCTGACTGATTTGGTGTTAACTGAAAGACGAAAAAGTGTACATATTAACAAAATAAAAGCTTGTAATAAAACCATTATTTGTAATTGTACATTTTTTTTTGGCAGTATTATGCTAATTATCTAAATATGCTAAAAATGGTTCTACTGATAACAATATTTAACGTAGATTTATTAATGTTATAAATATGTAGTACCCATATGCTTTTATTTAATTTTCACTTATTATCATTGTTAACGGTATTTTTAAGACATTTCTATATAAAAATGCTAAAATCAGAAAAGTGTCAAAAGCATCAAAAATAAAATACAGAGTAGTTTTAAATTAGCAATAAATATGTGTTTCTTTCTCGAAAATGTTTATTTTTATTTTAAAACAAATTGGTAAAACCAAATGATTCAATTATCTTTACACGCGAAGTGATATAGTACATACTTCTTAGTAGGTCTCAAACCTCAGAAAAACCACAAAAGATTAATATCATTTAAAAGAAAGAGTTTCACAACAAAGTTCCATTAAAATTTTTATCTAGAATCAATAGAAGAGCCAATAAACACGCTCTTAAAATTTACATTCAAAATCTGACAAATTTTGTATCGCACCTGAGGCTGATTCAGCGTTGCCAGAATTGAAAGATTTCCTTCAATATGAAGAATTTTACAGTCAAATTTGGTCGATTGAGGGTTTGAAGGATTTGTATTCAAAAAGAAGACAATATGAAGGTTTTTGGCAGTTTTTCAGAATAAAAATTATTAAAATATGTAGTAGAAGTATTTATTATTTTTCCTACATCTATTTTTTCACTTTAACGGTGTTTAATTAAGGATTCCTCAGTTTAAAGCAATGCCGCTGTCAAAAAGTCCGCAATTCGAAAGATTTTAACATTTAACAAAAAAATAATAGATACATTTTTATCTTTCAACACATCTTATTACACACATACCATAACTAACCCAAAAGTTCTTTGTTGAAAAGAAATAAACTGGTAAACGGAAAACATATCTAATAAGTCAGCTGGTCATGGCGTCTTGCACGATTAATTATTTTCGGTTCAAGCAGTCATTGCAAGCAATGATTTTTTTGAAACATACTATATAATACTGCTGTCGGGTATCTATCACAGCATTTTTGATCGTGTTATTTTTTGAATAAAAAGTTTATTTAAATACATCAGTATCAAATCAAAAATTACCGGAAATAAGTTTTAAAAATGTTTCTCCTAATTAGAAAATAAGTAAAATACACGATATTTTGTGATTTTTCACAAAATCTGGAATTTTTTGTGTTTTTTGTGAAGGAATATGAAGTTTTTTAAGGCTCAGTTGAAAAAATTCGCTCGAAAATGTCTGGCAACACTGGGCTGATTGACAGGACGGAACTGAAGCCTGACTGACCGTATCGCACGATGTGAATAAGCCTTTATAATTATTGGACTGGTCACAAAAAATACAAAACATTTTTTTCTAAGAACATTTTTCACATAATTAGAAAGTGGCACCACTAAAATTTGGCAGAGATTTTTTAACTCTCCGAAAAAACTACACAGCATTCGTTATTCATTATTTTGTTTGAATATATATGTAGATGACATAAATTCTCTAAAAGCATTTTGTTTAATGATTTTTCCTGTGTTTTTCATATAGATATTTTCGAAAAAGTGACAATAATATAAAAAATTAAAGATAAATCTGCTGATAAAGTGTGTGTATATCACGTGTTTTGTGGTGTATACTTGTATTTGCGGCAAATTGCAGGTGTTAAATAGTTTATTATTAAACAAGATAAGTAATCTTTATGGTAAACATAGGTACGCAGAGATCACCAATGGCTGAAATATACAGGGTTGTTCACCACATACGACACGGAGTATTGTAGCTAAACGATTAGATTTTTACAAATTGTAGGTTTTAGGTTCGTCGAAGGACTATTAGAGCTACAATTTCAAAATATTTTTACAAGATACAGAGTGTCCTAAATAAGTAAAAAATATTATATATTTTTTTAAATGGATTTCAATATATATATTTTTTTAAATGGAACACCCTGTATATTATTCTATTTTTAGATTCTACGACTGAAATAAAGGTAAATTTGATTAAGGTTTATCGCACTTAAACCTTACCGTTTTTGAAATATTTTCAATTTTGTGAAATTGCAGTAAAAAAATTAAGGCTTTATTTCTCCAAGAGTATTAAAGGTTTTAATAATAATAAATATTTTCTGAAGATTATTTATTGATCAGGTATTATGTTGCAATAATAAAAATTATACTACCTTATACAGAGTGTTCAAAAAATTATATTAAATAATTACTAGCTTGCAACGGCGATAACTTGTTTAATTTAAATGGAACACCCTGTATATTTTATGTGAATCAGATGCACAATTTAATTGTCTATCAAATTGTAATATACAATTTTTTACCTATTTCTTCAAATTTTCGTAGAAAATGCATTTTCTTATTATTTAGACCTCATTTATTACTATACCCATGGAATATTGACATTTTAGATTTTTTTAAAGCAACATACGTACAAAATATACAGGTGGTTAAAATAATAATATTGCTAGCCCATTTGTTTACAAAAAGAAAACTATTTAAATCTTTGTAAAAAAGGATACCTACTAATAAAATTATTAATATACTCCGCCTATTATTTCCGCCTAACAATTAATTAATTACATACTTAATTGTTTTAATTATAAGTGATTCTAAATAAATGAGGATTTGACTTAAAAATCAATACAATAATAAGTTATGAAAATGAACGTCTCTGTTGTTATAAATAAGCATTTGTCACTTTGGTGTTACTTTTTACCACACTGTCAAATACACATACAAAATTCAGTTTTCTAGTATTTTGGAGCAATTATTATTAATCAACGTAAACAGTCAATTAATGTAGTTTAAATACTGGGATTATATTAATTGGTGCTATTTAACAAATAATATTTAAACAGTTTTTCTTATTTTTTTAATGTAATAAGCGAATTATATCGACACTATTAGTATCTGTTTGGTATCTGGTACTCTTTTTGAAAATTTGTTTACATTTTTAAAAATAATCTAAAATGTTATTATTCCATGGGTATAGTGATAAATGAGGTCTAAATTATAAGAAAATGCTACTTTTACGAAAACTTGAAGAGATAGGTAAAAAATGATATAATACAATTTGATAGACAATTAAATTGTGCATCTGATTCTCCTAAAATATACAGGGCGTTCCATTTAAATTAAACAAGTTGTTGCCGTTTAAAGTTAGTAATTATTTAATATAAATTTTTGGACACTCTGTATAAGGTACTAAAATTTTTATTATTGCAACACATATCTGATCAATAAATAATCTTCAGTAAATATTTAGTATTATAAACTTTAATACCCTTGGAGAAACAAAGCCTTAAATTTTTTACTGGAATTTCATAAAATTGAAAATATTTCATAAACGGTAAGGTTTAAGTGTGATAAACCTTAATCAAATTTACCTTTATTTCAATCGTACAATCCAAAAATAGAATAATATACAGGGTGTTCTATTTAAAAAAATTCAACTATAATATTTTTTACTTATTTGGGACACTCTGTATCTTGTAAAATAATTTTCAAATTGTAGCTCTAATAGTCCTTCAACGAACCCAAAACTTACAATTTGTAAAAATCTAAGTAATTGTTTAGCTACAATACTCCGTGTCGTATGTGGTGAACAACCCTGTATAGTTGAAATTTTCACTTATAATATCACAAGAGCTTAAATTATTTTCGGAAATTTTTTTGAGGGTACGAATATTTTGAAAATTAATTAATAATAATTATTATTAATAATTTTCCTAAAATATTCGTGCCCGAAAGAAAATTTCCAGGAATAATTTAAGCTTGCGTGGTATTCGGTAAGAAAATTTCACACCTAAATTTGAAAAAAAAAATATTAATCCAACATGACATTTTAAAATAATTTCAATTTGTTAATAATATTAACAAATATTATTATATTTTTAATTAGTTACATCAAATGCTAAAACTCAAATGGGTAATATTTCAATATATAGACATTGTAGTTCATTCACATTATGATTGTAGATCTTATGTTTACCTTTTCAACTGTCAAAAAATTTCCACTAAAGTTTCGTGGCGCCTCGAAAAAATTTCCGGAAATTTTTTCAGTTGCCATGGTAACTAGTCAACATTAAAGCATGTTATTGGTTGAAAAGTAGAGGTGTGAAATTTTCGGGCGAATTTCGTCAAAGGAACCTTAAAAAAACTTAATATTCTTTCAATTTAACAAAATAATCTTCTGAAAAATCACCAAATTTCGAGTATTTTATCTATGTTTTAATCTGTAACAGTATCATGTTTTTGCCAAGGACCCTTCGATTTTTCCCTTCATTAAAACTAATAATATACAAATAACTATCAAAGCAAAAGCTTTGAAGGCGGGTAAAAGGACAAATAACTCACAATCTTTTTTAAGCATTAAAATTTAAATTAAACAACTTAAAGATTGTGAGTTATTTGTCCTTTTACCCGCCTTCAAAGGTTTTGCTTTGATAATATGTTCTCACACTGGGTTAGAGAACGTTTAGTTTTACAAATAACTATTTGCTTTAATTTGAAGAAAATAAACCGTATTACAGCGCATGTAATTAACTCTAAACAATCTTTTAGCACAGCTATTAAATCTGTTAATAAACTTAGGTATCGACTGTTTACTTTTAATTAGAACGTTGAGTTTGGCGTTGATTCACCAATTGTAAACTTACGAAATCGGTCATAAATACCAACATTTTTAGTACCTGTATCGCTTTTATTTTTTTTAGTTAAAAAAATAATCGTTTACTCAATATTATATATATACACTTAATATTTTACGGAAAAAATCAAAAAATAAAAGTGACATAAAAATGAAGGATGGCCTTTTTTGAAAAACCATATTTTTGAAGAGGATTTTGAAGATTTAAAAGAGATTTTTTAAAGCTAACACTTGATTCAAAATTGTGTTATGGTATGCTCAAACCCTTAGCTCAAACCCAAGTGGATGTGTAACAATTCCTAGAAAGGTGGAGAATATTTTAATTTAAATTATAAATTTCCTAAAAGGGTGGAAATAAATTGTATCTAATTTTAGAATGTGGTTAATTCGAGGTTAATTCACTATATTTTCGTCAAGGAAATCAGTCTTCTATAGTAATAAAACATGATTCTTTTTGTTATTTCCACATTAAGTATGGATACTTTCCACATACTTAATTACAATTTCTAGCAAACTCTTAATTATACCTGAAATTACACCAGAGTGATTCAAGCTTTGTTACCAGTTTTTGAAGGTTGAATGAGAATATCCTTTTATCTAACTATATCGTTACAAGCAGATTTTACTAAACGATTGGTATAAATAAAGAATAGTTTAACAACAATACAATTAATCAGTCGCAAAAAAAAACAGTTGTTTTAAATATGTATAATTTTGTTTAGAAACCAAATGGAAGTTTTGTAAAAAATATGTTTTAAATGGTGTAACCTAAATTTCAAGACAATTTTTTCCCATTTTTTGAAAATAGATTTGTGTATCTGGAAACTTTCTATCTTTTTTAATCTTTCTATAACTTTAGTGTTAATTTTTGACAAGTTTTATGTCAATTTTTGGCAAATATCGTCTAGAGACAGACCTCGCCAAAAGTATCATCGACTGTCATTCTCCAACCGTCTCTGACTTCGTTTTTTTTTTATCATAAACCTTTGTAGAAAAAATAAAAATTATAAAATATAAGCGATACCAATTAAACTTTTAATTACGTAATCGAGAACGCAATTTTTTAATTTGTTGTTGCCAGCCATGAACATAGTCGGCGCCGGGCTCACTACCTGAAATTTAAATTTCCCGCTGGGGATTCAGGTGGTAGCTCTGCTGTAAAAAATGTCTAGTTGCTACATTTATTTATTTATTTCCTGACATTTTGATTCATTTTGACCCTTTGGTTTTGTATTACTGAGTTTTTGGTTTAAATGAATTGTGTTGTGATACTTTAAGCTGAAAAATTTTTACTAGCGGACCTTGCAGTCGAACATTGTTCTTTTTGGAACCTCTATAAGTACGAACTGTACATGACAGCTTAATAGCCGTTAAAAAAACTCATCGCAACCTTATTAGAATACTTTGAACGGGAAAGCAGTAGTAACGGCCCTTTATGTCCCTTAAGTGCTGTTAAGAAGGTGAGTTTTAAGTTTTATTGATGTAAATAATCACTGTTTATAAATTTATAATTAATTTATTTTTGTTTCCTATAATATTGTGATTATAGGAAAATATGTAAACGTTAATCAAGCTTAATAACGTGACTAAAAGTTAATTTAGTATGATCTACAAACAAAATTCTGTTTTTTAAAGGTCACATTCAGTATTTTTTTAATTGGCTGTATTTTATGATGAGTTTTTTTAACTAATCTACATAATATATAAAATGCTAATGTTTATCTGTGTCGTCTCTACTGAAGTAACGACTTGCTCTAGAAAGTTGCTTTTTTTACTAAAAGGTAGCTAATTGGCTCTTCTAAAAACTGTCGTCGCCGGATTTTTTGTTTTTCATTTAATTAAACAAAAAATAAAAAGTATTTTTTTTCGTGATGTGGTGGCGGATGCGCCGGGCTTCAACTAGTCATAAATAAAAAGATAGACTAGATGGTTTGCAATATTCAGAATTAGTCAATATTAGATACATTATTTATTTTCACACCGTCAAATGAAAAAAAAATCGGTGTTGATTTATAATAACAAAATACCACAAAACATGGGGTATTTTGTATCATAAATCAACACAGCTTTAATCCAACTTTATAGTTTGATAAACATTTTCTATTCCCAAAATCGATTTGTTCAGTAATTAGTGGATTTTTGAAAATAATTGTATAAATAATATAAAAATCCATTATTCCCAAAAAGACCTGGTTTATAAATCCAAAAGAAGAAAAAAAAGAAAAAAAAAAAAAAAAGAAAAAAAAGAGAAAGAAAAAAAAAGAAAAAAACCAAAAAAAAAGAAGAAAAAAAGAAAAAGAAAAACAAAAAAAGAAAAAAAAAGAGAAAGAAAAAAAAGATAATAAAAAGAAAAAAAGACTTTGTCTTTTTTCTTCTTTTGGATTTGTATAAGGGGTAAAATAAAAATTAAAAAAAAACATTCCATGATCATAAATCAACACAGCTTTAATCATAGGCTTTAATTCAACTTGATGGTTCCTTAAGTATTTTCTATTCCCAAAATCGATATTTGTTTAGTATTTATTGGATTTTTGAAAATTATATTTTTGAAAGTAAAAAAAAATAAAAAAAAAACAAACATTCGATGTTAGATATAAGTAACTAGTTGGTAACTAGCAATTAATGAAATGCTCAACGTTGTGTCTTTTATTAAAAAGGGGTAATACACACAATTCTGATGTCATTTGTAAGGTATGCAGTACAAATCTTAGTACCTACACAAAAACAAAAGGGTAAAAACTTTTTCAGCTGCCTTTAATTTTCCCTAAAAGTAAAGTCACTCCGTTTGATTACAGCGTCAGGGAAGAATATCGTCATACGACAACCACACAATAACAGTGATTTAAAATGACAGACAAAAATTCTCACTGTTTGTCACACAACGTGTTTTAGCTATAGGGTTCAGATCTGTCGAACATGCTGGGCAGGTCACAGTAGTATATAAAAATATAAACAATAATCACAACAGCCACCTCGGCATATTGAAAAATAAGATATGATAATAGAAAAAAACTGCAAATTGTTGGTGGCAAGTTCATTTCGCTCTTAAAAATTAACCAAAGCACGTATATTCTTATTTACATGACCAAAAAATAAAATGCTCTGGAGACATGGTTCAGACCGAAAAATATCGTTTTAGGGAAACTTTCTCATGAGATTATTACACAGGATATTTAAAATTTAGGGTAAAAAACAACCCTTCGATTAACCCTGTATAATAATCCAAACACTAAAATTTATAAAAAAATGAGTTTACGAATTACAGTTGATATGTTCATACACAATTTGCTAAAAAAATCATGAAAATAAGACTAAAAATATAACACTTTAACACTTTAAATCTGACAAAAAAAAATCCGTTGCGTTTTTTTTGCATCTGAGTGTGAGTGTACATTACATGATATACAGAGTGAGTCTTAAATAAGTGCAAATATATTTGGTTGTATAATATTTCGACCCCAGAAACACGTCTATGACGTTTTTTTCACGAAAATTTATATGAAAATTGGATTTTTTTTTAGTTTTTAGTTAAAAATAGTATATTGTCTTATTAGGAGTAAAAATGACACTTTTTGTGGTGAGACTGTACGTTTACGAGGCATACAACCGAGGCACAAAAAGTCATTTTTACTCCTAATAGGACATGCTATTTTTTTTCAAATGCGACAAATAAGTTTTTAAACAATTTCTCAAAAGTTCCAAATAATATAAAAAAATTTAAAAGTCATACCGTGTATGTAATTGTATATGGAGAAACTATGGTTACGCTCGTTGAATTTGACACTTTATGTCAGTTTAATAATATATTTTCGTACTTTTATGCCTTGGCGTGACTTTTTTATATTGTCAATTTGTCAATCATGTCGCAAAAAATAATACTTTTGTGACGTTTGAAAAAAAAAACATAATTTCTTAATAATATGGCAACATATTGGTAGTAAATTAAAGTTTACAAGAAGGAAAACTCAGAAAAGATCCAAGATCCAGTGGTTCTCAAAATTTAAACAAAAAATCATTTTTTTGGAAATTTTCAAAGTAAAATAGCTCGGTTATTTTGGACTTATTTGAAAAACGGTAAAGATAAAATACCAAAAAAAAACCTAAAGCAATTCTCCACTAACCTCGATTCTCCATATCTCCAGGCCGGGGTTCTTGCCGGCATTGGCGAAAGCCGGTTCCATGCTGACTTGTCGCTGGGGGGAACGCTGTCGGGCAACTGTCGAAGCCGCCGAGGTCTCCATCATCAGGTGGGCCGCGGTGACTAGGAGAGGCAGCGCGAAGGCGCCGAGACGCATGGGGGACGCTTGGCGTCGCTGGACGGCGAAGGCCATCATCGTGACTTGGGGGAGAGAAAAGAACAATATATTAAACTAGCGTGTACCCGCGACTTCGTTCGCGTCGAATTAGTCAATTGTAGTGGTGATGATAAAGCAAAACAAGAATTTCCATTAACATACAAACTGGATAAAATTTCCTCACATTTATGTCAGCATGAGAAAAAACAATATGGCGATATTATTATATATAACTTGGTAATATTTGAGGGATAGTTTCATCTATTTGGAATTTGACTTTCGAAAAATCCGTTTGCCAAAAATAAGCTTTTTACATCAAGCAGTTTAAGCAGAATCGTGGTTAATCAATTGCCCAACTTTTTGGAACACCCTGTATGATTTTTTAAAAAATTTCAAAATATGTAAAAACACAAAATAAATTATGCGTGTCCAAATGTTTTCCCGAAAGACTAACCGTTTTTTAAATAACAAATATTGTAATATATGAGGGGCGTTTTCACCTTCTTGGAATTTGAGATTCGAGAAACCCCTCCTTATTGAACCTCTACACCCCACAGTCAATCCGTTTGCCAAAAATCAGCTTTAAACGTCAAGCACTTTAAGCAGAATCGTGATTACTCAACGGTCATATTTTATGAAACACCCTGTATAAATTTTTAAAAAATCTTAAAATATGTAAAAAACAAAATAAAATATACGCGTTTAAGCATTTTTTCGGAAACTTGGCCGTTTTTTAAATAAAAAATTTTATAATATTTGAGGGGTGGTTTCACCCCCTTGGAACTGGAATTTCGAAAAATCCCCTCTTATCGAACCTCTACATCCTAGAATCAACCTGTATGCCAAAATTGAGCTTCTTACGTTGAGTGATTTGAGCAGGATCGTGTTTAATGCTAATATTTAAGGTGTTATTTTTGCACCTATAAAGAAGATTAATTTAGGTGTTATTTTTGCACCTAAGAGAAATACCTACTTCATAGGAATGGATTGTCCTCAACATCTTAACTTTTGAGATACAGGATGGTAAAATTTTCTAAAATAAACTTTTTTTCATTATAATTCCGGTGTTATCTGGGGGCACAACAATGCCACCGCCAAGTCGAACCAGCCGTACCATCCTTTTCTCGAAGGTATCAGCGGCACTTTTGATCACCCTATAACTTCGTTGAGGATAAAGCAAGAATTTTAATTTTCACTACACATGAAGACATTTTTTTAAATTACCAAAGTTAAATAACTCGGTTATTCTCAATTTATTTAAAAAATGGTAAAGAGAAAATATATTTCTTTTGGCCAGATCTACCACCCCTTAAAATATCTGCACTTATTTCTGGTACACCCTGTATAATAATAGATTTTTCAAGCACTTTACATTCTGTTAATTTTCTTTCTTTTTTTTACATATCACCCTTATTTCACTTACCGTAACAAGATCTATTAGTCTTTGTATCTCACCAAAACACACTCACAACTTTATTTCCTTCGTGATAATAGGCCTCAGTTATAGCACTGACCACCGATGACCATCGAATGATCTCATAAACAAACACAAGGTGCTCTTATAGATTTGACCCAGAAGGTTAACACAACAACGGCGGACGCTGTGTTGATAAATAAATGCTCGAAATCGTAGAAAATCATAATAATATTATAATCAAGACGGCCGAATACGCTGATTCCAGTGGCGGGTATAGTGGGAGGGCCAAAGGGAGTCATTGCCCCAAGTAGCGTGATGTCCAACTGAGAATTATTTTGGACCAAGTCCAAAATATCAATTATTGTGTGAAATACAGATTTAAAAGTTGTCGTTGATTATTTTGTATAGGCTTGGTGGATTTTCCGCCGGTGCTGCCACCATCGGAGAATGTCGTAAACAACCGGTATATACAAATACACACGAATTTAAATAGCGAGTATACAAAAAATATATTATATAATTATTCTAAAAGTGTTTGGAAGTATAATTTGTGGAAATTCTAAAAATAAAAATAAAAAAGTAAATATTTTGGTATCTTCGGAAGGTGTAACTTGTATTATAATTTAATATTTCAGTTAAAAAAACTTTTTAGATGAGTTAAACTACAGTAGCGAGCATAGTTTTTTTTAACATCGGAACTGCGTGAAATACCTACAGAGCCGAAAACTTCTGATTTCTGCCGTATCAAGCGCTGCGGTCGGAATTTTTAAAATCAACTGAAATGTACCAAGCTTATATACCGACCAAAGACTCTACGTTGCCAACACGGTATATTTAGTAAAAAGAAATCAATCAACAATTATTTGTTTTATACTTATTTATATAATTTTTATTAACATCTCTAGATTTACTCATTTTTCAAAGACTGCACCCTCTATAACCCGCCACTGGTTTGTTCTAAGAACTCTTAAATGTTTGTTACATCATTTTTAGGAGAATTTCTCTTTTTATTTTCGTTTGGCAAAACCTCATTTTGTGTTATTATTTACGTGACTATTTTTTTATATTAATTTACGTTAAAATCTGTAACATTGAAAACAATAAAATAATTCAAACATTAGCAAAAAAGTTAAAAATTGTCAGTTATACTAAATTTTGATAATGCAGATAGATCTGAGAATCTATTCAAAATTTTACAGAAATTGCCTTTTTTTGGAAATTTTGTTAATTAATATATCAATAATTTAAAGCATATACTCGTATAAACAAGTATCAACGAGTAGTATTATTAACACACTTTTTCTATTAAATAATAGAGGATAGCATACCTCTAAGGTTCAATATTAAACAGGGTGAGTCTTAAGTAAGTGTAAATATTTTTAGGGACGGTATATTTCGGGCTCAAGTTTCGTTTAGCCGAAATCAGTTACATAGAATATCGGTTTATAGGATGATTCTATACAAGAAAACTAGCACTACATAATTTGATTTTTGCCGCGGAAATTCTTTGTTTTTGAGTAAACTCGAATTTTTAATTTTTCTATTATTAACTAAAATTTAAAACTTTACGGTGTTTTTAAAAGTTTTTTTCATTATTGAATGAGGTAAAAACATTTAATTCAACGATGTGAACTAATTTTTATTCAAAAATATATTTTTATCACAATAATTTTCATTGATTTTTCCGGATTTAGAAGTGCCGAAATGCGATAGAAAGATAAAAACTACATATTTTTGTTTGATTAATAATTTGCTATAACTTTTCTATATAACTATTTCCGCGGAAATCTATCATAAGGGCGGTGTAATGGAAAATCTTCAATATTTCGAAGTTTTCCATAGTATTCTCTACTTTTTTGCATACTTTCGGTTTGGTTTGGTTTGGTTGTTTTAATTGGATTTGGTCGTAGTGGGTTTAGTTGGCTTGGTTTGATTTGGTTGTTTTTTTAGGGTTTGGTTTGGTTTAGTTGTCGTTTTTATGCTTTATTGACAATTTTTTTTAAATTTTCGCATTTATTGACCATAGCGATATTAAGTTGATAAGAATAGATATTATTCATTGATCTGTGTCAAAGGTCGGGAAGAAGATCACTGCATAGTGGTGAAAAAAGGCATTTCCGCGGATTTTCATTTTTGTATCGGTGCTTAAAAATAAGTCTACATTATAAAATAATATTAATTTTTTATATATCTCATTTCGTTACTTCTAAACCCTATTCAAAAAAATGGCAACATCGCATTTCCGCGGAAGTTCATTTTCGTATTCGTATTTACAAAGACGTCTAAAATATGGAATAACATTAATTTTTCATGTATGTCATTTCGTTACTTTTAAACCGCATTCAAAAAATGGTGACGTATTTCCGCTGCAAATTTTTTCCAGTAATATACTCCCTGAAGTACCTAAATGACAAAAAATTGTTTTTTTCTTTTTTAACAGATTTCGGCTAAACGAAACTTGGCCCATATTTCGACCCCAGAAACACGATTATGAGCTTTATTTCGCGAAAAAAGAAATTTTGAAAATTTTAAATTTTTTGAAAAAAATTTTGGATTTTTTTTAGTTAAAAATCATAATTTCTTTATAATATGGCAACATATGTAGTAGATTAAATTTACAAGAAAAAAAAACATAAAAATTTTGAGAACCACTGAATCGATTTTCAAAATTTAAGGAAAAAATCATTTTTTGGAAATTTTCAAAGTAAATAACTCCGTTATTTTTGACTTATTTGAAGAATGGTAAAGAGAAAATATGTTTCTTTTATCGAGATCTAGCAGCCCTCAAAATATTTGCACTTATTTAAGACTCACCCTCTAAAAATTTCATTCAGGCATAGCATATTTTTTCGGCACAAGTTTTTTAAATAAAATTAAAAGAAATCATACAATTTAAAAAAAATGTGTTTCTCCATCTTTGGAACAATTGTTTATTTGTTTAATATATCTGATTTGAATGTTAACAATGTAGCAAAATAGTTTAACAACAATAATCGGGCAACAATATTATCAACAAATTGCTACTTCGGTCAATACATTTTTCAAACAATCGTTTTACCGCTTTTTGTTTTAAAAAAACAATTCTGGGTCTGTAAGTTATGCAACCAATAATACACTACAAATAAACGCAGATCTAACAAGTATTTTAATTTCTATTTGAAACTCTTATTGGATGCTTTCAATAATAAAAAGCTTTTCTCTCTAAAAAAATTCTATTCTAGGAAATTTGATTTGATAATTATACATATATCAATAATCATATATTATATTAATTATTTTGATAAAACTTTTCGATATATACCGGGTGAGCCAACGATAGAGTAAAGCCCATTATCTCATTTGTTTCGAGGTTTACAAAAAAAATGTTAAATATAAAAGTTATAGGGAAGGTTAAATTAAAAATAGTACACATTTTAAAATTATTACAGGGTATACTGAGTGCTTCAAAAAAGTGTGGCGGATATAACATGTTCTTTTTTAAATACACACCCTATTTTTTATTTTAATTTTAGATTCTGGGAAAAATTCACCTTTCAAAAAATACTTTCAATTCACACACTTTCAATTCATTTAAAAAAAACTCTTCAACTCTGTATGCAAGCCCTATACTAATTTTAAAATGTGTATCTTAACTTATTTTTCTACAACTTTTATATTTAACACATTTTTTGTATACCTCGAAACAAATGAGATATAATGGACCTTACTCTATCGTTGACTCACCCTGTACAAACATTATAAACGCCGTAAATATCTATAAATAAAATTCATACAAATTTTAATGTTGATAACTGATTAAATAAAACTATTATAATTCATTAAAATTGATTTTATTTCTATTAATCTGTAGATATATAAAAATAATTCAATAAATATAGGTACTATTTTAAACAAACCACTTGCTTATTACATTACAAAAAATACTGTTAGAATTGCGTTAGTTTATAATAATACTGTATGTAAATATACAATACTGATTTTTTAAATTCACTTTCACACAATCATTATAGGAATATCCCTAGTAATTAACAATTTCTTAAAAATATATTTTTTTTGGACTAGAAAAAAAAAAAAAAAAAAAAAAGTATACAAAATAATATTTTATATAAAATCGCATATATATATGAGTATAAAAAAAACTTTTTTTTTTTTTGTGTAAAATACTGACGTTTTTAACATTAACAATCCCTATGCAAGCTTAATTAATGTAAAAAATTGCACTTTTTAAAAAACAATCTCATATTATAATACTGATAAATATAAAAAAAAAAAAAAAACAAGTTTGTATAAATTTATTTAAAATATATCATTTTTTTTTTTTAATTTAAGAAATAAATAAAGCTGGTAAATAATTTTTTTGAGAAGCACCTTTGGATTTAGTTTTTTGTTATTTGACACTAACACAGAATTTTTAACTTCATTTTGTTGTACGGAATTTTTTTTTTCAGTCGAGAACTGGAGACGGTCCTGTCTTTTGATGTACTTTCTTGATTCTCCGTGATGTCATTATTACCACTACCTTCTAAGAATTCTAAAATACTTATACTTTAGTATATTTAAAAAAGAAATTATAATAAAATTTAACTACCTATTGGATCTTCATCCTCATCATCGGATGGACTGATTTTATTACAGTAGTCTTTGATACAGTACAATATTTCCACAAAAATTTGCTATAATACAGTCTTTGAATTGGTTGGGCTCGCATGATCTGCTTAAAATTCTATTTCCTTGTTCTAAAATAGTGTGAATTTATACGGGGAAAAAAAATATTGAAACTTTTTTACTAACCACTCCTAGATATCTTACAACTTTTGTCGTTGTCACACTCTTTCTGATATCTTTTATCTTCAATTTCAAATTCAGTACAAGGCAGGTCATCTTCGTTTCCACAAACGTAACATTTTATGCAGGAAGTCGTATCCACTAAAAGATCTTTTTATAAAACACACACTTATAAATGTATTTTGAAACTCAACCTAAGTAAAAGAAATAAAAAATAAACCTCACTATCTGTGAAAAATACCACCTTCCCATGTTAGTAGTGCGGTTCTTTCACGACTATTAGCTCTGACATAAGCTAATTTAAATAAATACTCAAATTAATTAAAGCTTGAAGACTGCGAAATTGCAGGAAATCCATAGAAAACGTCACTGTTGATCTCTTGGGAAGAGGCAAGGGGGACATTATTGCAAACAGATCAATACAACTCGCATCGTTTCGGCACAAACGCCTCAAAAAGGCGACACATAAATTATATTTAATTATTTCACGGTGGATTAGTCGTTCGCCATATCGATAAAAGGTATTTAAACGCGCTCAAGTGTTGTGTAATTACGTAATTTGATGCATATTTGATGTTTTTATAACTCGATTCTTGTTGACAAATTTTTTGACAATTATCGATCTACTAACAGGAATCTTCAGAATTGTTGTTCTCATATCGACTGATAGAGGGCGCCATAATATATTAGTTACCATATTTAAAATGTCTAGATGTCGCTTAAAGTCAAATTATATTGATGAATATATCTGTGAAAATTAAACTTCCTCTATTGTCCAATAGAGGACACTACAACAATAAGTACCTCTCATATTAAATAGAGGTCGCATCTAAAATAATAGATTTCTCTATCAGCAACGTTTCTCTATCTCTAAAGAGAGGGCGCCACACGTTTTAGTACGACTTGCTATAGATAGATGTCGCCATTATAAAAAAATAAGGCTGTGTTTAACTGGTTGCCTGTATATGATTGTATAAATTACTTCTTTTGATTTAAATTTTATCTAATTACTAATCAAATTTTGCCTAAATTATCGGTTTCGCGATCCAAGTTGTTATATAAAATTAATAATACTTCATTATACCTTAATATAGTTTATAAAAGCTTTTAAATCTGTTCGACTTATTTTAATTAAATACAGGCAAATTCATTTTAAAAATAACGAATTTTTATGTAAAATAAATATCTAAAATAGAGCAGCAATTTTTGATACCCCTGTTATTACATTAAAGGAAGCAATCAAAGTTTTCAGTAAAGTTTATTTCCCTGGCTTTAAAGTCGGCACCAGATTAATTGAAAAATAATGCTACAGGGGTGTTGATAATCTTTTTTATTTTATAGCATGCATATTTAAATATCTTTAAATATCTCAAAAACCAAAGCTTGTAAACGTATTTAACCCTATTAATAAATACCTTATTTTGTCAGGGCCCAAATTGAAATATAAATTACCGGGTATTCCATAAGAAAAAAATACCAACTTTGATTGTGGATCTTATTTCTGACATACCCTGTTAACATTTTAAAATAGTTTTGAACTGTGCCCTTTGCCTTCCCACATATACCCATAAAGTATTTTGTTTCTACATCTTTTCCGTTTTCGTTATAATCAACCGAGGCGATGAGATGGGCGCCATTCCTATATATTAAAAAGGTTAAATAAAAAAATACATTACTTATAATTAGAGGATTTATTTGGTTCTTGGCTTATTATTACAATTATATTTTAAACGTTTTTTGTACAATAATTTAATAAAATACTTCGTTATAAAAAAATCTTCCGCTCATTTTCAATACAATACCTATTTTTTCTTAAACATCTACAAAATTAGAATAATATTCGCTTTATTTTGTACCAATACGATTTTCGAAAATCTGTTTTAACAATTCTTTAACAAATTGCTTTAGGCTGTTTTCTCTTTGCGTTCCCACATCGATCACTTCTTCGTGACTTGGTTTAGCTAACGATTCATATTCGACGATGCACTCGTTCGTGATGAGGCTAAATACGAAAACGGTCATATCACAGTGATTGGCGGTGATTACTTCGTGAACGGTGGACATTCCAACAGCATCAGCGCCTATAAAATGGATATAGTTAGTGTATCACACGGTATTACATTACAAATCATTTAATAATAAACACAAAACAAACTTCTCCGATTAACTAACTTATTTCAAATCAGTAAAGGTCGCCGGTTTTATTAATACAGGGTGTGTCTTAAATAAGTGTTACAAATATTTTCGAAGGGCTGGTAGATCTTCATAAAAGAAACATATTTTATTATTTTTCTTTGCAAAAAAAAAATTAAAAAAAAAAAAAAAAAATGTTATACAGGGTGGACCGAATTGAATTCTGGGAAACTTCGCAGCATATTCATGCAGATAAAAACAAGAATAAGAAGGTTGTAAAAATGGTATGTCCTAGAATGATGGGTAGTTTGGAAAAGTACAGTGTGTAAAAGTTTCATTTTATTTTCGATTTTTTTTATAATTTTCTTCCATGTGTGTTTTGAATGAATTTTTTATAGATATACGAGAATTTTAGTACGTGATATATTTGATTTCGATGTCAAATTGACTCATACTTGTAGAGGGCGCCACCTAGTATATCATATATAACTGGTTTGAAGTTTGAAGATAATTAAAACTTTCGTCTGGTAACCTGGGTATAAACGTGTAGTATAAAAAATTACACATTTGACGAGATACTAGCGTTAATAAAGTAACCTATATGGTAAAAACGCTACGATAATGCTTCGTGCAGATTATCTGGACAGATCAAAATTTGGAATACCAGTGCACACATTACAACGAACTACAACATGTTGAACTACGAGTAGGGTAGACATATTTGCGCCTAGAGTCTTAATAAAAAATTATATGGCTGCCCCCCGCTCCTCCCGGAATTGTTATTATTGAAACAATTATTGTATTTATATACTATACGTGTCTGGACTATTATGAATTTAAGTCATCCAATTTTTTTGTTATAACCTTACCAACAAAGATTCATGTGAAATTAAAAGTATATCTAATAACAGGAGTTGATTTCCTAATTATTTATTTCGTTAGATAAAAAAATACTCCACTTGCCCGGCGTCTTTTTCGTTACGCACTTTGTGCCGACTAAATACCAAAAGGATTATCGTCGACAATTGGCAATTTCTTGATCCAAGCTATTTATTGTGTTTTGTTTTTAAAGAAATACCATACCATTGTTATCCAAATATCGATATTACATAGTTTCAGAATTTATTGTGGTAGAAACCGTAAATAAAATGAAATTCTACCCCTGTGTCTCCGAAATGAAGCAGTTTAGGGACATACATTTTATAAAAACTTATTTACTTATTTTATCTGCAGAATATGCTGATGTTATTTCAAATGTATATGCTAATGAATCAATGTATCAAAAATAACGTTTTCAAGTAAAATAAAATATTTTTTTTTTTTTTTTTTTTTTTTTTTTTTTTTTTTTCATTATTAATATTAACAAATAATGTATTTTACTTGTTTGCTAGCTTTTTTCTGTTTATATCTACGCCATTTTTAGAAAAAATTACTGTAATTGTTTTTTCAATTGGAATAGCTTTTTTGTTAATTGTCAAGATTTGCAATATATAAGGTTTAATAATCAATCGTTACAAAGTCATGAGGTTAATCGAGAAATGATAAAAAAATTATTTGACTGTACCATTTAGATTAATTAAATACGTAATATTAACATCGCAACAGAATAATCAATAAATAAATTACTTGTAGAATCTATTTTTTAGTAAATTTTGTTGTCAAAAATTTTCTTTGGAATTAACCTAAGTATTCTTCAAATAATTTTGAAACAAATATCTCCTGTAAAAATTTATATCTAAATCACAGGGGAAAGCTCCCTTATACCACTGATGGCGAGATTGGTGTTTACAAAGCAAATAAAAACACTAAATTCACCAAACTTAACACCAAAACACATTCACACACATCATCAGCGGATGATTTAAAACTATAGTTTTAATGATCAACCAGTTTTAATCATCTGGATAAACATATGTTAAACATCTTAGCGAAATACCTTGCGCGTCCAATCCAAAGTTGTAAAGTGTTTTGGTATACTGTAGTGATGTAGTGTTACTATTGCTTTTGTGTCAATGCCTGTACTTGTAACATAATACAAAAAAAATATTAAATTAAAAAATCTAAATAAGCCCGCGTAAACAAACAAATAGTTACCTAGCAATCGTAGGTCAGTCAAAAATATTTCGTGGGTCAGTGTCTCACCCATGGGATAGGTTCGCACTCAAACTGTGGTACCGTTATCCAATTACTTCCGTCCGCCAAGTTACAGGAAAGTAAAAGAGTACCAGAGTAAACTTTATGTTGCATTCATCGACCTAACAAAAACCTTCGACTCTGTAAACAGAGATGCACTTTGGGCAATTTATGCAATAATTCGGCGTGCCCAACAAATTTCTTACAGTGTGTAAAAGCCTCTATAACAACAAGTCAAGAATGTCACATCATGAATCACTAAGCGATCCCTTCCTAACAAATACAGGAGTTAGGCAGGGATGTGCCTTAGCGCCTCTCTTATTCAATATATTCAAGATAACGCTCTCCATTTAGTGGACAGTAAACTGCAAGAAAGAGGAACGAGCATTAGATACAGATACGACGGCGGTCTGTGCAACATAAAAAGACTCCTAGGGGCAAAACACTGTACAAAATTCATCACAGAACTTCAATTCAATACGCTGATGACTGCGCTTTAGTGGCAAAAACCTTACACAATTACAAGAAAGGTAAACACATATACTGGGCATACGAGGCTTTGGGCCTTAAGCTGACATCGGATTAACACTAAAAATCAGTGCACTCTCTCGGAAAATCACACAATGCTATAAAAATCGAAGAAGAACACCTATTTACGAAATATGTAGCGGAATTTCATTACCTCGGCAGTTTTGATTTCGGAAAAGCCAATATCGACTCTGCAATTCAGCACAGAATTAGCAGCGCCTCAAGAGATTTTGGAAAATTAAAAAAGCGAGGGTTTTCTACAATCATAGAACTTTGAAGAAAAAAAACGAACTGCAGTGTACAACAATAATAATCCCCCACCATGTTATATGGAAGCGAAACCTAGGTGTCGTACCGCCGACACACGAACGCATTAAACTAGTTGCAACAGGGACACCAGGTGGATGACACTTCTTATGGGAGAACTGGCAATGGTTGAAAGCTTGACTACAAGCGATTTTCTAGGAATCTTCCATACCGATAAATTATTGACAAGAGTGACAGATAAAGCCT